GTTAGACAGGAGTGAATAGTCCTTTTCCTTTTCCTATAGGCCTCACAATTGAAGAATAAACTAGGCGAGACAATTCATTCAAAGTGTATTTACTAAGTCCCACATTATATATGTATATATGTTCTTATTGTTTCTTCTCACACAGTGTCACAAAAGTATTAGATTTCCAACAACAGTTAAACACTCTCAAAAGTCTATATCCACTGCCGGGCTTTGTTTTAATAATTCACGAGTGTAAATAACCACAATCCCCGATATAAAAGCGGAAGGCTATTCGCTATTCCCGCCAAAACATCTTTATTTTACATTTAACTTTCATTAGGTTATTTACAGTAGTTTTGATAACAATTAAATGAGAATAAGAGCCTTTTATTATATAACTGCTTTTATTCAGAAACTTCATCTAGTCACGGGCGTTATGTTTATTAATCGACCAAAGAAAGCTCCATCATCCGTAGTTTGCGATCCTAAACTAATTCTTCCTCGCTTCTCGAATCGTTTGCAGTTGAAGGCAATGTGTCTTGCATTGCCATGTTGAACAGTGTCCGCTCTTAGCTATACCCATTAGATGTAGACACCCAATGGAAAAATGTATGTTATAGTTTCTTGATAGTTTCCTTTTTGGGCTTCTAGCTACCTCGCATCTCTCATCGTTTCATACTTCCACCTGCTCATCATCAATCATATTGATTCAACGAATCATAATTTGCTAAAACGATAGTAATTTTATAACTGTATGAAATATTAAAAAAGTTAAATCCAAAAAAGAGTTAGAATTTATCGTTAGTCAATGATGCATATTATGCTACTTCTTTTCAGCCCGTTGAGACGCCATAGCTGAAACAATTTTTACCAGTATACCTGAATTTGAATGTCAGTCTCTTCCAAACTTACCACATGTTCGAGATTTACTACGGGATAGAATATATTGGGAGCGGGGTAGCTCAGTGGTAGGGCACTAAGCTTCCAATGCTCTCAAGGTACCAGGTTCCAATCCCAGCCCATGCCAGAAAAGTTATTTATTCTGTTTAATTCGCCGTGTGGTGACCCTGGGGTAGGGAGACCTTCCTGGGGCCCACCCAGCCTCTAGAAAGTGGTTACCCTTAATTAAATAATTGATTAAGGGAGAAAAACTGTCGCTTGAGCGTGACCCTGGCGCGATCCTCTCTCTGCACACCCGTTGGCATTGAAAAAGTACTTTTTCTAAATAGTACTGAACCCAAGAACCTTCATGGGTTGTAGTGGTAAAGTTTTTTTTTTTTTTTTAACTGAGACTTGTGGGACGATTTTTTTTCTTGCGCTTTTCAAGACTGCCTAAATTTTGCAGGACTAAAACCAAGACTGGTAAAAAAAATCGATTTTTTGAATAGAAATTAAGACGAAATAGTTACTAGTTACTTGAATAGTTAATTTAATAATAGTTAAGTTAATAATAGTTAATTTAATAGTTAAATAGTTACTTGACAATTTTAGTTACTGTATGTAAAGAATCGGTATAACCAATAAATACACTTTTTCGTTTATATCTTCTAGTTTTTCATTCGAGTTTTTCCTATCTAAAAAATTTCAGTACTCTATAGTAATAACCTAATACGGAACGGAAATACTGTTGTGAGACTTTCGCTCAAGACTAAGACCGACTGTGGGAGACCAAGATGAGTCCTTTGGGCAACACTATTATTGAATAAGGAGTTTTAAACAGAAACTTAAATGAGTAAAATAATAGTATAAGATCATTATGAAATTACACAAAATTAATGCTTTTAAGAATTAGAAGATTTACTGAAGTGCCATATCTAGGAAGCTAAACAGTATTGTGTGGTGCTGTCCTCCGTAAACAAAGTCATAAAATATTTTGGTTTGTAGTTAAATATCATTCGGAAGCTATTTCAATATTTGTAATGATCAGTACGTATATGCTGAAATCAATAAAATGGTTTTACTCTTTTTACGATATAATCAATAGCTCATAACATAAACAAGGCGGAATCACTTCTTATATATATTCATGTTCCTTGGTGCAGAAACAAACATATGGGGCTTTCATTTTCATCCATTATTCATGTAACTTGATACGCCGATTAGCTCAAAATATACATATATTGAAATCAAAGGCTTCTTCCACAATCCAGTGTGTAAAGAATATTTTTCAACCTTGAAGAATAAACCATTTAGGGAGAATAGAAGAGTTAGGATCAATGGAGCCTACAACAGGCATAAAGAGCGCTTTAACATTTAACAGACCTTTCACTGTTAACTGAAACGCTTCTTGTTAATTATTTACGGGGCATTTGAGGGCTGTTCATTATCTTCCATTACCGCGGTCTTGGGCGCTAAATTTTTTAATCCGTTCGCCTGGTGAGATAAAACGGTACAACAAGAAACCGCTGGAATTTAAAATGTATTAGAAAAAGCTTAACAATAGCAAATCGTTTAAAGTTGGCTAAGTAATTTAACTTTAAATTGAGTCGGCGGGTCCAGTTTAATCTAAAACGAGTATAGAGAAGAAAATAATCTGATAAAAACAGGACCATGCAAGAGTTACAGTAATCTATTAAGGCGTCTAATATGGTTTATATTTTTTTTGTTAATTTTATATTTATTAAAGATTAAAAAATAATAATAAATATATAAGACATAGATAGCACGCTTGGTGAGAAAAGCAAAAAACAATCAGGGACTGCATATGATTAAACAAACCGATTTTTAATGTGAAATGAAAAATGCTTTATATCTTTAGCCCGTTCTTCAAAATTTAAAATCTTCTCCTTATTCAAGGTACCGGCTTTGTATTCATATGGAAGGTTAAAGACATTTTTATTTGAAAATTGAAAATTTCAACTGGTGTATTGTGTTTAAGACGTTTAGGAACAAATTTGATTCTGTATCTGTCAGTCTATATTCAAATCTAGGTTAGGAACATTTACTTAATCCGATTATGATGTAATTTTCACTAATCGTGCCGATTGCTATCGTACTGATCCCACATAAATTTCCTCAAATTCTACCTTACTTTCGCTTACAAGTGAACAATTGTACTATCTTAGATAGGCTTAAAGTTAAAAAATGGATCGTTTAATTAAAGCCAAGTTTGGATATATATTGAAACAAATTATTAAGGTCTGATATAGAAATGATCAAGCTGGTATTAGTTTTACTAAATTCTAACTCATAACTTCGCGTATGTATATGAAAAATTATTCTCCTTGAAAGGCTTGTATTTAAAAATAGCCTAAAACGATATATTTTTATCCACCAGTATCTTCATGCAAGTGGTTCCATATTTCTGAGGTATCAGAGGATACTAATGATATCGATACAAGGGCAGAAATTATAAATTGAGGTTGAATGCTAAAAAAAAATTTTTTTTTTTTTAAATCAAGATTAATAATCAATAAAGATTAATAATATGACATTCATTTTTTTGTTCCATATTAACAAAGTAATAACATTCACAATATATAGAGCTTTTCAACTCTTAATGGCCAAAGTCTAGGCGTTGATTCTAGACGAAATTTAAAGCAAAAACGTTCGTTGATGCATGGGGAAATTAGCAACGGAAAAGGAGTTAAGACCAATTTTGTCTCACGTTTTTTAATGAATAAGAAGGAATTGATTTAAAAACTTTCAAGACAATTAAATTCTAAGTACACCATCGTAAAGTAGACAATATTTTCTTTGAATAAACAGTGACTAAATTTACTAAGATCAATAATATAAGGGACTTTAAGGAGGTCTGAAAAATCAATGTCTACAATTATGCGGACTTATTTCACGAATCGTAATTACAGAAATATGCTGCTCCGTTATGGGTACAGCGGCCTTATTAGACTTCTTATTTTCAATTCATTTTTAAAAATCTATCGTATCGATCATAACATATTCTGCAATAACCAAATATTTCTGATAACACGAAAATCTGTGAGCGTAATTAAGCAACTATCTTAAAGTTGCGTGGTTCGGCTCCTTACAAGACCTGATAGCTCTTTGCCTCAATCCTCTTTGGTATTCCCCCACTTTGTCTACGGTGGTTTAGTGTATGGAGGGCTATCTGCTGGGCTCTATATGGGGCTGAAGAGGCTTATGAATTCTTTCACAGGATTCATCTTTAGGATTCCTAGGCGCTCGTAAGTTCGTTTGAACACCTAATTGATGTGGCCTATCAAACTTCCCGGTGGCAATTCCTTCTTATTGTTTTTGTTTTCATAGTCGCTCGAACCAAAATACCTTCATACGTCCTAAAACTCGTTACTTTATGTTTTACCATTTACTCATTGAATATTGGATGACTCATGCTATTGATTTATATTCTCTCTCTTCTGACCCATAAAACTTCATCTTTCAAACTATGACAAATCTTTTGTGCAATCTTACCTTCAAATTGTTTGCCCATCTTCATATGTCAATACTACTCCAGAAACTCGTTTAAACAACAACTTGTTTCTCCACCTATTTCCTATTCCAAGTTCTGCATTGATTTAAGAACTATTTATTTCCGTGATAATGATAATTAATGACTGCTAATTGACAGATACTATTTTGAAAATATTTTGTCATTCTAGTGTATTACGTCTTAATATTTTTATTATTCAGAAAAAATTTTAATCCTAGAATAATTTTTTTTTTATCAGTTATCTTTTCATTCATATATGCATCCGACTTTAGGTTACGAAAACATTATGTTGTTCCATAAGTTCTTTCCCTTTTCTTCATTCGTTGTGTAAGGTTGATTAACTGTGTTATATATGAACCGTTCTGCTTTATTATCTTCTTCCACTCTCAGGAATCCTCTTATAACCTTTTTTTTTTCAAAATTGTTAAGGCTTACTTGAGAAATATTCACCGAGATGTGTTTTTATTTCGTTTTCAAATTTTTCATATTCATCTCGAAAAGAATATTTTAACGAAAGAAACAAGTAATAATCGAATGGGACAAGGTCTACAGAGTACGGAGGATGGGGTAAAAAGTTCCAATAAAACTGTAACAGTTTTTGTCTTACGGCCAATTCCGCATGTCGCGTTTGTCGCAAGACAGAAACTATTAGAGTTGGATTGGGACTTTTAATCTCATCATCTGTACTCCCCAGACCTCGCCCCATCTGATTATACGTGTTTCTTTCGTTAAAACATTCTCTCCTTGATAAATATGAAAAATCCGAAAGCGAAGTAAAAACTCATTTTGACGAATATTTTGCAAATAAGTCACGACCATTTAAAATAAAGAATATAAGAGGCTTCCTGAGAGACGAGAGGAAATAATAGGGCAGTACATTTCATATATAACACGGTTAATCAACGTCTCGACCAATTGAGAGGTCCGCCCGCTGTCCAGATTTTGATCATTTCCAGCAGTTTATCGAAGTAGATCCCAGACCGACTAACACAAAACCGAAAGATAACTAAAAAATTATTCAGTATCATGAAATTGGTAAAAACTTTGTTTACAGTTTTTCGGAGAAGGATGATATCTTCTGCATTGCAAGGACGCCGAAATTCTTGTGTGTTAAATTTAAAAAAAATCATAAAGTAATGGGTAATAATCCTCTTGATTAAACAATATTGAATTTTTTTTTTAATTTGTTTATTTAGAAATATTACATTCTGTCACAATCAAGGACATTTATAACAGTGTTCAAAGAGCACACTCACACTATATAGTATCGAAAATAGGTAATAATAAATTATTGTTTATTAAAAAGAGAGCGTGGTAGCTATATGAATAAGGCGATGTTCTCCTATGCTCCAGGTTCTGGTACACCAGCCGTGTTACGAGCCTCGATACGGAAGAATAGCTGGCGGATGAGTTTGTCGTCGATTGAACTTATATTCAATGACGTTGAAGAAAGTAATCAGAGCCATGAACTTTTTATTTTTTTTTTGCCCTGAAAGTAAGGTATATATTTTGTATATAGTCGGCTTAGGGGTCGGAGCATCCATCCTCTTTAAGGCTCCTGCGAACAGAACGCGATATGTCTGTATCGCTGCGGACTATCGAGCTCTGTATTACTGTTATATTGTAATATATAGTTACGGAACTATATTGCCATATCACCATTGAGAGGAATGTCGTATCCCCGAAACTTGTCTTATTCCATGCGTAGAAGCCTTTAGAGTGAGCATTTGGCCTTTTATTGGGTTGGGACTGAGATATAAAAATTAAATTCATACGCTTTTTTACTAGTTTCTACTACTCTAGCGTTTAGTAGATAAATCGTATAAGGCATAAAAAAATGTTAATTATACTTAACTTTGGCTAAAAAGAAAATAATATACGGTCACATACTTTTAAAATAGCTCTAAAGAAATTCACGATTTCCTTGCTCGTTTTTACGTGTTTTTTGTTTTGTTTTTTATAGCTTTCGTCACGTTCGAATTAAGGAAAGCATTCTTAGCCGTATCAGAACCTGGATCAGTTATTTACCTAAAGCACTTTCCCTAGATGGCATTCCACACGAACTAGAACTTTTAGAAGTAAAATGGCATTTGGTTATCTCTGATGTTCTAGGAATATTGTAGGGTATGTCGTTTAGAAAATTGGGTAAAAGAAGCATTAAGGTAGAGTACTCGATTGTATTTTTAGAAAAGACAATTCTCACTGCTAAGAGGAAGAATGCTGTAGCGTGATCCTTAGATTAAAAGAACGGCAATTAAGTATAATTATCCTAATGTTTAAATGCCCTCGAGTTAGGATTTAAGTCACGCGCGAATAACATTCGTTAGTTAAATGGGTGTTTAGTTTTGTTTTAAATTTAAATTATAAGCAGGGGTAGGGAGAAGATGTATAAGACGGGCAGTGTGAGATTTCTAATTATTAAAAAAACTACCATAAATTGGTTCTTTGCCATCCCCAAATATAACAATAATTATTATTTATAACTATTATTATACTGTTATCATCATATTAAAAATAGTTCTACTATTCATAATTAGGTTTATTGGTTTATAACTAGTTTTTAAAACCTATATTACGAACATCTCATGTGGGCTAAAGTTGAAAATTTTTTAAAAGTCCATCGAAGATGAAAACATGTATCGAACATTTGTTTGAAAGAGATATGTTTATATCCAATAAAAAATACCCTGCAAATTATTTCCAATCAATTATACATCTAAAGTAACATTACCTTCCGAGAAACAAGGTAACAGTCAAAGAAAAATAAACAAAAGGTGATTCAAATTATTGGACTTTTATTAGTAATATGCTAAAAATAAATAGCTTTACTTCAGTAACACATTCAAAATTTAAAAACCAAACCAAGGATATATTATTTGGAGAAGAATCAATAAAAAAAAACCGGAGACCATATCTTTGCTCCTAATTGTCCCATTTTAACGATTTTTTTTTTTTAGGAAATTTCGTAAACTTTTAAAACCCATATACAATATCAACAAAAAAGTATAAACTTTTCGAGTTATTCGGAATTTTACAATCGTAACTTTTTTTCCAGCTTCTTTTCGTTGAAGTATGTTATATAGATCAATTTAAAGTGCGTCGAGAAAATGATTTTAGCGAAGTTTCATTGAAATCTGTACATTCGTTTAGAAGCTACAGTCTGTAGCAACGCACGTTTTTCGGCGGCCATTTTGAAAGTAAAAGGCGGAGAATAATGTCGATGAAGGAGTGTCATCCTAGGGTGACCTCTGATTTAATATAAAAATTTTCAAAAAATCGGTTCAGTAGTTTTGGAGAAAAAGTAATGTCGACACGGCGGACGGACAAAAAAATTTTTATTCGTTTTTCGAATTCTCCGCATCCTGAAACCCGAAATCTCAAATTTTGAGAGAGGGTAAAGTTTTTGAATTTTTTGGTCGATCACAATGGTGGATTATTGAAAATAATAAACCAAAATGATTAGAATGAAAATCACATCAGTTATATTTAGTTCCTATTGCTACTAGATAAAAGGCTAGATTAGTTATAGATTAGTTATAGATTAGATTAGATATAGACTATTTTTATTCGTTTTTCGAATTCTCCGCATCCTGAAACCGGAAATCTCAAATTTTGAGAGAGGGTAAAGTTTTTGAATTTTTTGGTCGATCACAATGGTGGATTATTGAAAATAATAAACCAAAATGATAAGAATGAAAATCACATCAGTTATATTTAGTTCCTATTGCTACTAGATAAAGGGCATTTACTTGTAGTATAATTATGAAGCTTAAAACGTGATATTTTGTATTTTTACATAACTTACTGCTTACAAAAAACCTTTTATATATATATATATATATATATATATATATATATATATATATATATATATATATATATATATATATATATATTAATATGATACTTACTTTTATATGAATATAATATGACCCGAGCTACAGATTTAATTTCGACAATGAAGTCTTCGTTTGGAGATTAATAACCAATATTTGGTTCAGGAAATCTAAATTGTTTTGACAATTAATAACTTATATTATAATTATTTAAAGTTTTTTTTATAGTTGAAGCGTGACAAAACCAATCTTGCTTAAGAGTTTGACCGAAAATGAGTATATAATTCTCTAAGTCCATTTTTTTTGATTTGGTCGAAATGTTTTCTAGTATGTCAGTTTATATAATCCGACACAATGCGCCGCATAAGAAATGTGCCATTTTAACGTTAAATTAATCAATTTAACGAGGTACCAAACTCATATTTAACCATTTGCTTCTCACTAGAACTATACAATAATTTGAACAAAAATACTTAAAAAATGTGTTCTACAAAAGTATTAGGCCGTTTGGCATTTAAAACCTCGTTATTTTGGCTTGTTAGAGATATAAGTCACGCCAAACAGCCACCTTTTTTGTATGCCACCTTTATTCTCGATTTTTTTGTCATATTACCTCACGATTCAACTGGAAAACGAATGGGTGTTCATGAGTTTTACCTAATTAAATAAAAAAAAAGTTTACCGATATCCAGATTGACAACAACCCGATTACGAGAATTTCCGTGAATAAAAAAAAATTTGAGGTTACGATAAGATTAAGCTATTCATGAAGTTTTAGGTGAATGTTAATATTTTTGATAAAAAGTGTTCTGTAAGAGGGACTACTGGAAAGCCGAACGAATGACACTACTTATTGGCTTCCAGAAAGCCCAAAGTAGAAAAGTAAAAAAGGTTCGAAGAATAAAAAAATACCAGACCTTGTATCTAATTTGTTATTTATATAGACCGCAATAGAAACGAGATGCTTAACGAAAACTCCAGGAACTCCAAGAGCTTAACTTCTTATGCGGAGTTAGTATGAATTTTTTAGTACTTACTGGAGAATTTTTCGTTGTGGAGCCCAACTCTTATTCTATTAGTGAAAGTACAATATACTGTTTAAAACCTTTTTTGGTTTAGCTTCATTTTATTTTAATGGCTTAATTTTAATAGTATATTTTTTCGTTTTACATTAATTTAACAATATATGAAATTTATATCAAGGGAAAGCATTGCGGCATTGAAAATTTTTTCAAACGAAACGACTTTTCAATACAAATAAATGTTTAACAGTTTTCTGAGTCAATAGAACAGTTTAATATTATATATTGGCAGACATATTGTACATTTCAATTGTTTATGGATTAACTGCTATTAAAATTATATGAGTTGCTTTAACTAAGCTATCCGATTAGTTTTAAGTATTTTATTGATTTCTTATGGAAATTTGTCTTCTTCAATAGATTATTTGATATATTTATTTCTGATTTTTACTATTTGCTGTTTGACTTTATTTCTGATATTTTGTAATGTCATGGTTTTCCATAACATTCAGGACATATTATATTTTTACTATCATTTATAACTGAGTTCTTATTAAAATTTTTCTAGATCTATACACATTCTCTCCGGAGGAATATCTTTATGATCCACTAGGCCAAAGTAATATCATATGCTCAGATTGTGCTTTTTTCTCCTGGTTAGGATTTTGTTGTTGTCCCTCTCGATTAAGTTGTCCATTTCAGAATATTGGCTATGAGTATTTTAATTTCGATAATAAATGTAATATAAATAGTTAATGTAATATTATAATTACTAATACTTTTCAGTTTAATAATTATTCTCAAATTAATTTTTTTTTTTTTTAATTCCCTAGACCAATATAAATTTG